GGAAACTGACAATCATTCCTGGCTTTTTCATTTGTTTTACTGTAACCTAAAGCAGGTGGTTAATAATTGGTGAGCCGAAAGCATAGAATTTTAGTTAGTTACAGTGAGGAGAAACGTATAAAACGTCTAAAGCAATCCTATTTTTTTAAACAGTGCAAGCTTTTTCTAACTGATCACAAACAACCACACATGTAGAGGTTTTTTTTTCTCTACGTTTTGAATGGGCTGCCACAACGAATCAAAGTCAAAAAACCCTTTATCTTCGCTTCCTTTGAGTCAAAGCATTTGGATGTGAGCCAATAGGCACATTCTTAACAGCAGTCACCTGCTCTCAAGGACTTCCGAGCTCCATTTCCCATAACTGCTAAGGAAAAAGCAGACAGCGGTTTTGGAGTCAAAATACTGCATTGCTAACGAAACGAAGAAATGTAAAGGGACTGTAATCAAGCCAACCATCGTCTTGAGACTGAGAATCGCCAATTTTATAATTAAACTAAGCCTGTCAGTCTTAGTGTAACTGACGAATGAGGATTTTGCAAATAAAATGGATAACACAGGAAGATGATATGAAAAACTTGGTACATGAACCTTTTAAAAGAGGAGTACCAGCCTCCTATAGATTGCTTGCCTATGTTTGGCTACTTCAGAAATAACAAAATTGGAAAGGTAAATAACCTTCGCAGGAAGAAAGATCGTTTCATCGTCTTGCTGTGCTTCTATTCTATAATTAAATGTAGCACTCGGACAGCTCTTTGTTACATCTATTTTCTAAACTGATAACTTTGAAATTAAAAGATTATTGTTTTGAAATTAAAAGATATTTTAAAATACCTGTGGGGGGAGGGGAGGGAAAGGAAAGGAAAGGGGGGTGGGGGGAGTAGCTTAAACATTTTTGGTCACTACTCAAGATGTTTGAAAAATGGGTGAAATCTAATCACCGGAAAACGGTACTTACACATATCTTTCTGAATGGATTATATTTTATGAAGATGTACACTACAAGATAAAAGGCCTGGCACAGTTGCGCTCGATGTGTGAGTGTATGCATCGGATATTTACAGTGATTTGATCGGCGATCTTGGTTATGATATTTTCAACTCCAAATTTTGACTAAATGTGACAGCAATTACTTGCCGCAGCCCCGTGCACCTTGGGGTGACAACTTTCATTTACAGCATCACACTGAAATGATGTTGCGATGGCCACGAAATAACACTAACGATTGGTTCATGGCATCCCTGGTCTTCCTTGTTTTGAACCGAATCGCCTCTTGAGAGTACGTCCACGCGAATTTTATTTGCAGCTGGCTCCTGTCACGGCATTAAATCAACGGGGCGGAAGCTTGCTGTCTTTTGGGCGCCTGCGACACCAGATATATTTATGAGACTGTCTTGACTTTCATTACCACTAGGGCTTAGAAATGAACTATTCATTGGCGCATTTGGAAAACGGGAATGCAGCGCGCAAAGCCTTGCTTTATGCGATCGCCTGTAAAACGGCACCTCAAAAGCTGAAATGATAAATGTTACAACCTGTTTCAGCTGGAGCAACTTAGTTGAAAGTGATTTTTTGCTCTTTTACCTACAGGACAGCAGGCGATTTACCATCATCCGTAACTTGACGGGCGGTGGTCGAACTTTCCGAATGTTTGGTTTCGCATCCAACCAGGAATCATTTGATATCGCAGCCAAAGAGGAATCATTCGTTTTCACAGCTGACAAGGACTCATTTGATATCGGTGCCAACGAGGAGTCACCTAAAATGAACAACAAAGCTCAAGAAAGATATATAAATAGTTTTAATATTATCAGCAGAAAGTCAAGCGTATGCTGCCCAATATCCTTTTTGTATTAAAAAAAAAAA